CTCCCCCGCGTCTTCTGCCTCGTGGCCGAACCCGCTGCAGCCCGCTCTGGCTCGCCGGGCAGCCCGGGAGCCGGCAGGGGCCGGGCGTCTCCCCCCGTTCCGGGGCGCTCTCATCCCCCAGGGGGAGGGGAAATCGCTGGGGGTCCCCTGCAGTGCGAAGGTAAGAGTCGGGTTCGCTCTCTGAATGGCTGGGGGTGGGAGTGTGTGTGTGTGTGTGTAAATGTGTGTGTGTGTAAGGACCCCCTTGTGCAACCGCCCATGCACACCCAGATGTCATGGCAGAGGGACTGGGGAGGGTTTGAAATGCACCCACCCCACCCCTGCTGGACCCCTCTGCCGCATGGTTTTTGTAGATCCGCACATGGGAGCCCTGCTGGGGGGGGGGGTCTTCAGGTTCAGCTTCCTGCCCTGGGGAGAAAACGCCCCCCACATCCCATCTGCTCATCCGCACAGGGGGGCTCATGGAGGGGGAGGGGAGCTGGCGAGTGAGACGACCTCGCCCTTAGGCTTGAGCTCAGCATTGCGGAGAGGGGCTCTCCCTGACAAAGAGGCAACTTTGAGTCCAGCTGGAGATTCCGTTCTGTGGTGGGTCTGGTCTCAGAAACGTTTCCTTTGGGTTGGTGATCCCGGGCACTGCGCTGTGGGGTGGGCAGGGTCCAGGCGGCTTTCCGCTCTCCGCCTGCACAATGGGTCTTTTGCCTTTCCTCCTCCTCCTCCTCTTCCGAGAGAGCGCAAACTCTTAATGGACCCATGCGAACCGTGAGCACTGGGAAGAGGAGTCTCCCTGAAGCCGCTGTCTGTTCTCAGTGCTTGCCCAATATCCAGAGAGCAGCTGAATCGGGGCAGGTGTGTGTGGCTGGGAGAGCTGGCAGCTGGAGGGATAGAGATGCAGGCTATGATGGACAGAGCTCTGTAAGGATATAAAATTAATATCCATCTGCAAAAATGATCCGCGGATGTGGATACCTGCGGATATCTGCAAACTTGCAGGGTTCTACGTACAAAATTTATATCCACATCTGTATCTGCAAAACTGAGCCGCCGATATCTGTGGATCTAAAGCCAGTAACTGCAGGGCTCTAATGATGGGATGGAAAATGGGCATGTGAAGGAGATAAGAGGCAAAGCCTGCAGTATAGAGGTGTAATAACAGGCCACTTTCTTGCTTCCCTTTGTGTCCCCGTGTGTCTAAGTGATTTAAGACTTCTCTTGAGCCGTAGCTAAGTGTGGGACCCAAAAACAACGAGTGGTCCTGCTGCACCTTAGAGACTAACAAAAATATATAGGATTGTGAGCTTTCGTGGGTGAGACCCACTTCATCAGTTGAGTTGGAGTGGAAATAACAGAATCCAAGATATATATCTATAGCAGCAAAGTAAATACCTGTCATTTGTAGGGCCCATGTTAATGAAGGGCCCTCTGAATTGCTGTGTTATAACAGGTAGAACTCTTTGGTCCCCCTCTATTCCAGCCCTGTCAATTTGTTGAGTGGGAAGGTGTTACCATGTGACCCAGCACCAGGGACAGAGCAGTGGGGGTGTTAAGAAGCTGTAAGAAGCAATATAAATATAACACTGTGGGAAAGACAGCAAGCAAGCCGCACCATGCAATAACAGGCAGCTTCAGTGTGATGGTAACAAATGCAGCGTTATAGCACACGGGTGCCTGGGACAGATCGAGAGGTATACGGGCTCTCAAGAAAAGCAGTAATTTTGGATTAGATTTCTTCTGTGGTTCTGATAGACATTTACTACTCATACAGATAAGATGCTAATTGCCATGCGAGCCATTGATTGGCCTTATCTAATAACTACCAAATGCATTACCATTTCTTCTCGTTCTCAGACAGGAGCTTATATTGAAAATATTTAGCTATGAAATACTACAGCGTATATGGCCAGGCTTCAAGAAGGAAGGTCAGACAAATAGGCTGGGAATGGGGCCACAATAATATATGATTTATGTTGTTTGATGTAAAAGCCAGGAAGCTTAAAGACATTCATCTAAGGTAATTTATGGTGCTGTTTGGGTTTACATTTCAAAGCTGATCTTAGGTGAGTCTCATGCTCCTCTACTTGTCCATCGGAGTCAGACCCTTACATGACCGGATTGGTTATTCCTACTGGTTTTGGTTAAAAAAATGTATATAGAGAATTAATTCATTTTGAGGAAATTCTGCATGTGATGCTGAGGGAATGGGGTATGATGATTGGATAAAGGCTATTGAAGTCTTATCTCTTTAGTTGATGCTTTTTAGCACGCCTAAAAAATAAGGACACAGCATGTAATTTATTCTAGCTGGTCTATGCACAGTGTTTGTATTGGTATAACTTTTTTTTTTGTACTTATAAAATGACTAGTGTGGATAAAAATGCTTGATATTGGTATAGTTCATTCCCCTTCCCATATGAGGAATAATCACCAATATCACTTTTGAATTGGAATAACTGCATCTGCACTAAGGAGTTGTACCGTTATAGTTAGTGGTACAACTTTCCTGTGTAGACAAAGTCTGTTTGAAAAGTCCAGTGCCAACAAGGCAGTGTAGACTTTTACACATGCTAAGATGATAAAGTTAAAGGTTAATAATAGGCAATAATACTGTGGCAGTTTGAGGGGGAAAAGACCCTTTTTCAAAAGACCTGTGTAAACCTCATTTTTTTAGGAAGAACGGTTCTTTCGAAAAAGGTTTTTCTAGACTGCTTGCTTTTTTGAAAGAGCCTCTTTTGAAAAAGTTATCGGAAGAAGATATGCAAATTTATGCCATAGTCTAGACATGCCCTAGGGTTAGCCTCTGGTGGGCCCACACCATTATATTTACCTGCATGGACAAAGATACTGGCAATCACACATCCCATTGGCTGCAGATTACCATTCTCAGCCAGTGGGAGTGGCAGGAAGTGGTGCGGACCAGGACACCGCTTCCCACAGCTCCTATTGACTGGAAACAGTGATCCGTGGACAATGGGAGCTGCAGTCACCTGTACTGATGGCCGTGCAGGTAAATATAGTGGTGGGTGCCTGCCAGGAACTAACACTGCTGGACTGGTATTTTCCCATCCCTGGGTTAGACTTTCCCCCACACTTTATCTCAACCGGTGTAAAGGGTAAGAAGAGGTGTAGGGCCTTATCTATACTGAACTGTCAAATGTGTCAGAATGGGATAGCTAATGCATTCTAATGACACATCTTTTAACCATGTCTAGATAAAGCCAGAATACTGAAGTGCCTCCAAATCCTCAGAGTTGTCCTTTTTGTTTTGTTTTAATTCTTAACAAAATGAGGTGTTGGATCCCAGTTAAAGAAGAGATTATTTGTGATGAAATAACTGAAGTACAGCTTCTAAGGCTGCTTTCTCTTGTTCTTATGCTTTATTTTTTTCATCCATCTGTAAATGATTCTTCTTGGTCATTTCTTTTTTCCGTTTAGTTTTAATACTGTCAAAAAAATGTTTCTGCCCCCAGCTGCTGCGTTTCTTTTATCACACTAAACACTTAGGCTGTGTCTACACTGGCATGAATTTCCGGAAATGCTTAAAACGGCATACTATTCCGTTTTCAGTTTTTCTGGAAAAGGAGCGTCTACATTGGCAGGCTGCTTTTCCGGAAAAGCCCTTTTTCCGGAAATGCATCTGTGGCCAATGTAGTCGCGCTTTTCTGGAAAAGAGCCCCAATCGCCATTTTCACGATCGGGGCTTTTTTCCGGAAAAGACTACTGGGCTGTCTACACTGGCCCTTTTCCGGAACAGTGTTCCGGAATAAGGACTTATGCTCAAGCAGGAGCAGAATAGTTTTTCCGGAATAGCAGCTGATTTTGTACAGTAGAGTGTCGTTGCTTTTCCAGAAATTCAAGGGCCAGTGTAGAGATTTTCCGGAATAAGTGGCCCAGTGTAGACACAGCCTATGTCTTCAGTGAGAATTTGGCTCTCAAAAGAGGAAGTATTTAAATCTCTGGGACCAAACAACTCTGCCATCACTTGTTCAACTTCTTGTTGTCGCTCATTGATTGGAATGTGCTGGTTAATAAATTCCCCTACTAAATTTTAAATAGTTAATGAGTTTATTAGCTCTCTTCTTTTTCTCATTCTTCCTCTGTAAGGAAGGACCTTTGCACTTTCATTTTCTATATCCTAGTCTTATTGGCTTCATCTTGTTACGCTTTGAAAGTCATCCAAAGAAAATAGGAGTTGGTCAAGTGATTGATCTGGCGAACTCTGTAAACGATTAGCAATTTATACTGGGGTTGCTTAAGAACTTTAGAGCTATAGTCTCAATTTAGGTAAATTGATGAGCTCCATTGAAGTCAATGGAGCTACCCCTATCTACACCGGCTGGGGATTTGGCTGTTGGCCCCTTGACTTCGAAATATCACTTCTCACATTTCAACAAAGTCAGCCTGTGCTTCCCAAGTCTGCATGGGAAGGGTATGTCAGCACTGGATTGTTTTCCTGAGACATTGCCTACTGGGGAGAAAAAGAAGAGCTCTCCCATATATTTAATCACTGTAGAACCAACAATGCTAACAATGAAATCTTGTACCTTCCTCCAACAGAAGTTGGTCTAATAACAGGTATTATTACCTCACCTATCTTGTCTCAATGCAAGAGTAATTCACAGCAATTCACAGTCTTGATATGAAAAAGTGAGGTTCATGACCGCACGGTAGGATATAAAAACCTACTGTGCTCAAGAAAGCGAGAGGGTTACAGATGTAAGCTGTGCGCTTGTGCAGCCACTCAGGAAAGATTCCAGTGCTGCTCAGCTGATAACAGAGCGCCCATAGCTTGGTTTGTGTTTAGCCTTGTGGTGCACATTCCTTGGCTCACATAACAAAATTTATTCCACATGTGGAGAGGGAAAAACCTGCACATGGATGGAAAAGATTATAGGGAACATTGGTTACAAACCTCATGCACCGCAACTGGAGAAGATAATCTGAATTCAAGTGAGGCAACATGAAAAACACCTGACCTGCTTGTTAAATGAAGTACAAACAAAAATAATGGACCACGTGTTGCTGTAAGAACAAGTGAACTGAGACATGGAATCTGTCTTCTCTTCTGCAAACAGTGGTTATTAAAAATCCACTGAAAATGTGGTCAACTATAAAAGCTGGTATTTTAGCCAGGCTGGAGGGGCTGACTAGTTCAGCATTTTGCAA